TACATTTAGATGCTATTAATGTGTAAAACTACAATATAAACACGTCACATTTGCTCGTGGAGGCCTTAATAAACTATTTAAGATGCTAGTAGTGTGCATGAGTGATGCTAATAGGCTTAACGTGATGAAATACGAGTCAAAATGTGTATGGCAGAGATTAAAAACACAAAACGGAAGCGCGTTTGATGCGTTCTTCACCTGAACTTGTTGAATCTGTCAGCATCGGCCTCGAACATTTGCCTCATGTTGAGGTTTCCCGCGCTGGATTTGTACCATTGCTCCAGTTTGATGAAGTTCGGGTCGTTGTTGAGGCCCATGGTGGAAATATTTCGCCGTTTAAAAGCTGCTGCTGATGGGAAACACGACCGTACAGTCGCTCTCGCTCATTCACTGCACAGAGAGCGTGAGGTGGAAGTGCTGTGACAAATCCTGTCAGATACGCCCATCACGACGCGGACACGCCCACAATGACGACGGCGGAATCCAGAGTAGCTACAAGGGATACAGCTGAGGACGAACTTTAACAAATATTATTCACATTATTTATTAATTTACCTATTAAATTGTATTTTACTGACGTCTACCCCTATCCCAACCTTCAAAGTAATGTAAAAGCAGTAATTATACCGAGTATTTTTCATATTATTTATTAATTACCCATTAAATTGTATTTTATTAACGTCTACCCCTACATAGACTCTAAACACTGTCACAGTTATGTAAAAACAGTAATTATACCAAGTATTATTTATATTCTTTGTTAAATTACCGATCAAATTGTATTTTATTAACGTCTATTTCTACCCCAACCCTCACCATAATGAAAAAACAGTAATTATACCTAGTATTATTCATATTATTTATTTAATTAACAATTAAATAGTATATTATTAACCTCTGCCACTACCCCAACTCCAAAACCAAACCTTCACAGTAATGTAAAATATGAATTATAGTTGTACAGCGTCTCAAAAAATATGCTATATTCACGTGAGTATCCGCAGCTGTATCCCTTCTAGACTTCACCCGCCCACCGTGACACTGCGCTCGCTGAGGTGGTGAGATGCTGTTATGTAATATAAACAATATATATTTAATCAGACACTATTTACTTTAACTGATGCTTTTGGTTTTTTTCAGGTTGTTGAAATTAACAGAAATATATGCTGTCAAACGGACACACACAATACACAAATGATACACAAATTCCAAAATAAATAAAACAATAAAAATGCTAATAAATATATATATATATATATAAATGTACAAAATCATGCTTAAATAAATGCATAATTAATAGTGCGGGCAGATTATAAATTAAATAAATTAAAAGGATGTTGGAGGAATATTTATTTATGCTGGAACTTGTGTTTTATATTTATTTATAGGCATAATTATTTAATAATTGTTTTATTTATGCAGGAATTAATGGATTTATTTATTTGCATATTTATTGTTTTGTGCAGGAATTTGTTGATTTATTTATTTATTGTTTAAACAAGTAAATGAGTAAATAAATTCACAAATTCCTGCAATAAAAAAAAATAAAAATGCAAATTAATAAATGTGTAAAAATTGAAACATTATTTACCTGCCCGCACTATTATGTATTTAAGCAAAGATTTGTGGATTTTTTTTATGTACATTTGTTTATTTGCATAATTATTATTTTATTTATGCAGGAATTTGTGGATCTTTATGTGCATTCATTTATTTGCCTATTTATTTAATTATTATTTTATTTATGCAGGAATTTATGGATCTTTATGTGCATTCATTTATTTGCCTATTTATTTAATTATTATTTTATTTATGCAGGAATTTATGGAGTTGTTTACTCGTATATTTATACATTTGCTTATTTTATTTATTTGTTGTTTTTGCAGGTTGTTTTCCTCCATACAAATGAACAGATTCGGGTTGCAGTTTTATAAACAAGAAGCTAATATCAGTGGCATATATAGACATATTTTTTAAAGCAAAGTTACATAATAACAGTTAAATTTAAATAATAAAGCATCACATTTAAGTTCAGTGTTTAAAAAATAAACTGACAATAAATATGTAATTTTTTATTTATTTATATTTGGGGTTTATAAATCTCACCACAAGATGGGACTATTTACAAGCATATTGTTGTGTTACTGAGTCAATATGAACGTCAAATAAACTGACTTAACATGAGCAACTAATCTAAATTAATTCTTACTGTCGTCAAAATTACATGCATACAAGGACAGAATTTTTAAATTAACAAAAGAGAACGTAATTGCTTTAAAACTAGTTTAATTATAAAGCGTTTTAATGACATACTTTCACATTATTCAATTTAAATATAAAAATATTAATATTTAATATTAAAAAGGTCACTTTTGAAAAACCCGCAGTTGTGGTCCAACATCACATACTAATTCATTTATAATTTTGAACAACTAATTCAACAAATGATTACCACAACCAGAAAACATACAGTACACATTACAAAATAAAAGCACGAGTGTTTGAATAAGCACCCTCTAGCCCAGGGATGTCGAACTCAATTCCTGGAGGGCCGCAGCTCTGCACAGTTTAGTTCCAACCCTAATTAAACACACCTGATCAAACTAATTGAGTCCCTCAGGCTTGTTTGAAACCAACAGGTAAGTGTGTTGGAGCAGGGTTGGAACTAAACCGTGCAGAACTGCAGCCCTCCATGAATTGGGTTTGACACCCCTGCTCAAGCCACTTTAAAATGGAAACTTACATCTTAATAATCCTTAAAAAACATAGTTTATTGTTACTCCAACTTCATTTAACATGTTTATTTCTAAACAGAAGTATTATTTTAGTACATTTTGTACCTTTATTATGAAAATACATACAAAAGTTAATATAAAATGTTTTTAAATTAATATGGAATTAATTTTATAATTTATAAACAAGTGCTCCATTTAAAAGCGAGTGCAACTAAAGACCACTCAACGCAAAAACACACCACACAGCAGATAGTAAACGGTTTATTGGTGCATCTGGTAAAAACCCCTTTACATGTAGTTGTGAGCTGATCTTCATGCTGAGGTTCAGGAGGAAAGAGTGTCCGGCCTGACAGAAGGAATCTGTGTTTGATCAAATTAATTTCCAAAACAGTTTTTGCCTCAAGCATTGCTAAAGGTTGAAGTTCTGTATCAAGACCTGCATGCTGCAATTTCCCATTTACATGTGAATATATACCGCTTAATCACACAGCTGGAATTTACATGAGTGAAACCAGAAAAGCTTCATTAAATAAAAATATTGGGGAAATAAAAGAAGAAACTAAACTTTTAACAAAAACAACAAATTTATCATAAAAAAATAATTACAAAGTGAAATCTGCAATAGAGTCTGGCTGCAGATTTGCACTTGCACTTTCGGACTTGCACGCTCAGGCACCCGCGCTTTCTCAGCAAGTGACGTAATTTACAATGAACACCGGCGGCCGCTTGCATGAAAGTCCTTCAGTAATTAACGTAAGGGTGTCCCTGAGGGGGAAAAACCCCTGAGATAAGGGCTTTCATTAAGATGGTTGCAACAAACTTCTAATCTGTCACCCTTTTCACTGTAGCATTTCACTGTAGTTTCTGGCCACATACGGCGACGGGTGCTGCAGTTACTATAGTTACGTAAACAGATCATAAGGAACCACGAATGCTTGCCTTAACAGCTTTGCAGTAATGTTACACATCATCTGTGCCGCTTTCTTTCCATTAAGCGAGTCGAGACGTTCCCTTATCGAGTTGATCGCGACCTATAAAACTGGGCTGAGATTATGTAGAGACTTTTGAAGCAACACTAAAACGGCGATTTCATATGAATGCACTCCTGCGCAGACACGTATAGTTAATTTATTAAACGGTTTTATGCAAACGAACCCCTGTTTGCAATCGTCCTGGGAGCTGCTGAATAAGGAATAGTTTCCCCAAGTCTTATATAAATAAATAATAAGCTTTGCTGTTTGAATGTTAATGGTAGCCTGCTTTGGTGAATTTACATTAAAGTATTGTAATCGTATGAATACACGAACCGTTCGGGGGGCTGTCATGGTATACAACTTAAGTACTTGGAAATACTTGACAACATCGTCACTAGCAACGCAAACGAATTAGAAACTTGCTTCAGGTTTGTGTGGATTGTAAGTGACGTGACAGGAGAGTGCAGGTCTCGATTGTAAATGACGTCATTTGCAGAGGAAGTGTAGGTGCCAAGTCCGAGAGCGCAAGCCTAAAAGTGCAAGTGGAAATCTGCAGCCAGACCGTTCTCGAAATCTTTACGATATTATGATGGATACATTTAATTATTAAATGTTTATTACTGAATAAAATTGTTCTCTTGAAATTTTAGAGCTTGAAAAGTTTGTATATAACACAATTTCCGAATTGTAAATGTTTTTATTTAAATCATACAGAATCATACTTAAATAATTTTTAGAAAAACTACTTTATTTCAGATTTCAACTTCCCAAAACATCCCAACAGTTCAAACAAACAAAGAACAAAGACATTCCTGCAGTGATTTCATCACCAAGTGAATGCATAATCAAATAACTCGCCAACCTTCGACTTCAGCGGCATTAGTCCTCAAAAATTACATCAATCCTCCACATGAAAAACTATGAAAGCTTCCTTCCACCACACAATAAAGCATTAAAAAAATAAAGGTAATTGCGACATTTTCCCACACAGTTTTGATTTAGGGAGCTGTAACTAATTTTTGAGAATTGTGAGATCTGAGATTGTGAGTAATTGTTAAGATATTGCAAATATTTCTCCTGATAAGGAGTTTATAGACAAACAATTTAAACATTCATTTCTGAGAGACGATAAATTTACAATTTGAAGGCAAAGTTGTTGTAATAAGAGAGTTAAAAAGTTGCAATTAACTTTATTTTTTAAATTAATCCTGTGGCAGAAATGAGCTTGCATGAAAATAAGACCATAAAATCGACAGGTGTGAATGCGGCATTGCATGTACAGGTCAGGTAAAGCTGCATGAGGTTGAAAGGTCATCATGCTAGTGCACGCGGTGTGCATTAGATAAGCAGGGAGAGATGGAGTAAAGCTAAACAGCGCTAGCATTAATGTACACAACACAATCTGGCTTCTCAGCGGTCCAGCGTTCCGTCACATTACAGATCGAAAGCACAAGAAACCATCCACTGGGAAGAATATCTCAATATAAATCGCAATTACTCACTTTCCCGTTAACTCTAGAATCAGTGCATCCATGCTAGCTTCGCTTGATTGGTTTGTGATGTGAATTGTAAGCGGTGAAGCTCCAGCATAGCGTCATTACAGATAGAAAGCACTGGAAACAATTCGCTGGGATTTCATAATATCTCTTAAATAATCAAAAGTACTCACATTAGGGAGAGCGCTAGCCTCAGTGAACATATGCTAGTTTAAATTGATTTGTTTATTAAGTGGATTGTTAGCACTGAAGCTCCAGCTTTCGATCACATCACAGATGAAACGCAAAAGAAACTAATCAACTGGGAAAAAGGTTTCATAATATCGTGTGAAATAATCGCAAGTACTCACTTTGCGGCGATCGCTTGCTTCAGTGTACATTCGCTAGTTTAAATTGATTCTTTTTTTGAGTAAATTGTTAGCATTGAAGCGCCAGCATCCGATCACATTAAAAATGAAAGGAAAAAGAAACTAATCGACTGGGAAAACAGTGCCACCGAATAGCGTCTTGTTAATCTTGTGAAATAATCGCAAGTACTCCCTTATCAGTGAGCTCCAGGCTGCTAGTTTTACATGATCAGTTTCATGATGTGAATTGTTAGTGGTTAAGATCAAACACTGAGTCACAAAGGATTCCATCCACTGAAAATTAAGTTGCTCAAAAATCTTGGAAATTAATCATAAGCACTCACTTCCCAACAAGTTCTAGATTGGGTAGATGTCAATTTTTGTTCCTCAATCTAAATTAATCGCAAGTACTCACTTCCCAAACAAGGTCTAGAAAGGGCAGATGTAAATTCTATTAGATCAGTATTAAAATGCGAAGCGTCCGTGGTGAAGATTTAGCATTACTTCAACTTACAAATTAAATGCAAAATGACCCGAACAATAAAGGCTATCGAATCGCTTCTTAAATATTTGGCAAAATAATCATGAGTACTCACTTTCCAGTGATTTCTAGGCTTGGTGTATTCATGTCGGTTTCATTAGATCATTGTTAATGGTGAATCTCCATCCTTCCGTCATATGACTCAAAGTAAACAAATCAAATGTGAAAGTAGTGCTACTGAATCAGTTCTCAAATCTTGTAAAATAATAATCGCAAGTACTCACTTCCCATTGAGCTCTAGGCTGCTAGTTTTATGTGACTGGTTTTATGATGTGAATAGGTAATTGTAAAGCTCCTTTACGGAGTCACAAAATAAACAATCCAATGAATGTAATTGATGATTAATCTAAATTAATCGCAAGTACTCACTTCCCAAACAAGCTCTAGACAGGGCAGATGTACATTTTATTAGATCAGTATTAAAATGCTAAGTGTCAGTGGTGAAGTTCCATTACTGAGTCACAAGGGTAACCATCCACTAAAAATAATAGTTCATCAAATATCTTGTACAATAATCATAAGTACTTCAAAGCGACACTAGGCTCAGTATTTTCATGTTGGTATCATTATATCATTGTTATTATGTAAAAGCTCTAATGGTGAAGCTTCAATGTTCTGTCTAATTACGAATACAACTCAAAGTAAACAAATTAAATTTGAAAGTAGTGCTACTGAATCAGTTCTCAAAAATCTTGTGAAATAGGGTTAGGGTTAACTAGGCTGCTAGTTTTACATGATCGGTTTTATAATGCGAGTAGTTAGTGGGGAAGCGCCTTCATAGAGTAACAAAAGAAACCAACCTAAACATAATTAAAAGTAATTGTTCCTCAATCTAAAATAATCGCAAGTACTCACTTCCCAAACAAGGTCTAGAAAGGGCAGATGTAAATTTTACTAGATCACTATTAAAATGCAAAGTCAGTGGTGAAGATTCAGCAGTACTTCAATTACAAATAAAATGCAAAATAACCTGAACAAAGTAGGGCTATTGAATCGCTTCTCAAATATTTGGCAAAATAATCACGAGTACTCACTTTCCAGTGATCTCTAGGCTGCCAGATTTACATGATCGGATTTAATTTGTTAGTGGTAAATCTCCACTACGGAGTCAAAAATGAAGCCATCCACACTAAAAACAACAACTCAGCAAATATCTTTCAACAATAATCGTAAGTACTTCCCAGCGACACTAGTCTCAGTTTGTTTCATTAGATCATTGTTAATATGTAAAAGTGCTAGTGGTGAAGTTCCAGCGTTCTCTGTCTAATTACGAATACAACTCAAAGTAAACAAATTAAATGTGAAAGTAGTGCTACTGAATCAGTTCTCTTGTGAAATAATCACTAGTACTCACTTCCAAGTGAGCTCTAGGCTGCTAGTTTTACATGATCAGTTTTATGATACGAGTAAAGTCATCGAATAACAAAAGAAACCAACCTAAACCTAACAAAGCAATTGTTCCTCAATCTAAATTAATCGCAAGTACTCACTTCACAAACAAGGTCTAGAAAGGGCAGATGTCAATTTTATTAGATCAATATTAAAATGTGAAGTGTCAGTGGTGAAGCTCCATCAAGGAAAATAACAGTTCTAACCACTAAATATAATCATTCGTCAAATATCTTGTACAATAATCGTAAGTACTCACTTCCGAGCGAGCTTTAGGCTCAGTGTACACAGGCTAGTTTCCCCTGTTTGACTGTGTGTTCAGTCACATTGCAGATTTAACACTATATAAACTAATGGACTGGGAAGTAGTGCTATTGAAAAATTTTAACTATATATTTATATATATATAAATAAAAATAATCGCAAGTACTCATCTCCCAGCAGGCTTTAAGCTCTGCGCAATTGTGTCCATTTCGCTTGACCAGTTTCATGATGTGAATTGTTAACAGCGAAGCTCAGAAAGTGTAAAGAATGCATCAAAGTAACTGCAGCATAGATTTGCGTAGATTCACAGAGTAGCATTATGTTCGTTAGTAAAGATCGGACATTCACACGACAGCAAATGTCTGCTACAAAGAGCTACCGCAAAGTGTACCTCACAACATAATCCACATAATATATAAACATATCGCTGAGGTGACTTCGCATTTGTCGACCACGTCGTGTCATTTTAAATTGTGCCACTTTATATATTCAAAACTTTCCCCGACAACGGCTGCGATTTTCCATTAAATCTAAAATGTCCTTACGTTCAATACTGACACATCTTTATTAGCTTGTCCTGATGAGGAATATCACTATAAACATCATATTTCCAAGTCAGATATACCACGTTTATATATATATTCTTTTAAAAACATCCTTATTTACTACATGAAGCATGACGTCGGGGGCTGTAAAATGAAACTACGTTAGAAAAATATGATACTGAGTTCAAGAGGGTCTATTTTGATGCTAAGCACACTGTAAGATACTTTATAGCAAAACAAGTCAAAAATAAAGCTCATTCAGTGATCGAAATCATCACAATATGTTGTCCTAGCTAATCGGTTAGCTGTAAGCAGCAGTATATCAAATTCGGGTCGAGTATGGAAGTCCTGTAGAAATCATAGTACTTTTGAAACCGTCTGGATATGTTATACTCGCATTAACAATTCAAAGAAATTGCATCAGTTCCACTCCTTTGGAAGAAGAAACGGAGCAGAGGTTTGATTCACATACAGGTTTCAAGCAGTCAAACCCAGTGCTGGTGACAGATTTACAACACGTACGTTTATCTCCTTCTTGAGACCCAAGATGCGGTTCAATGCAAGTCAGGTCTTCCGAGCCACCTCCTGTGATCACTACACGGCAATTTTGTTTTCCTTCTGTAGAAACAGAGAAAATAAAAGGTCAACCATGAAACTATGGAAGCTTACAGAAATATATATTTACATTTTTTAAATCTCCAAATTCTGACAATATTATTGTGAGCTACTATATCAATGCTATACTCTTATTTAGATAATTAAGAATTGTGAATTAAGTTGTTTGCATGACAACAACTACAGCTGTAATGGAAAATAGCAAACGGAAAATCAATTCTGTGATATTCTAGTGTTTAAAAGCACATGGCGCTCTAGATCTGTTTGTTACAGCAGATGGTGCTCTAGGCTAGTTTTTAAACAGCAGATGGTGCTCTAGGCTAGTTTTTAAACAGCAGATGGCGCTCTAGGCTAGTTTTTAAACAGCAGATGGTGCTCTAGGCTAGTTTTTAAACAGCAGATGGCGCTCTAGGCTAGTTTTTAAACAGCAGATGGCGCTCTAGGCTAGTTTTTAAACAGCGATGGCGCTCTAGGCTAGTTTTTTAACAGCAGATGGCGCTCTAGGCTAGTTTTTAAACAGCAGATGGCGCTCTAGGCTAGTTTTTAAACAGCAGATGGTGCTCAAGGTTAGTTTTTAACAGCAGATGGTGCACTAGGCTAGTTTTTAAACAGCAGATGGCGCTCTAGGCTAGTTCTTAAAAGCAGATGGCGCTCTAGGCTAGTTTTTAAAAAGCAGATGGCGCTTTAGATTAGTTTTTAAAAGCAGATGGCGCTCTAGGCTAGTTTTTAAACAGCAGATGGCGCTCTAGGCTAGTTTTTAAACAGCAGATGGCGCTCTAGGCTAGTTTTTAAACAGCAGATGGTGCTCTAGGTTAGTTTTTACCAGCAGACGGCGCTCTAGGCTAGTTTTTAAACAGCAGACGGTGCACTAGGATAGTTTTTAAACATCAGATGGCACCCTAGGCTAGTTTTTAAACAGCATATGGCGCTCTAGGCTAGTTTTTAAAACAGCAGAGGCGATCTTGGCTTGTTTTTAAACCGCAAACATTACTCTAGACAATTTTATAACAGTAGATGGCCCTCTAGGCAAGTTTATAAACAGAAAACGGCGCTTTAGACTAGTTTTTAAACAGCAACAGCACTCTAGGCTAGGTTTTAACAGTAGATGGCACGCCAAGCTAGTTTTTAAACAGCAGACGGCACTCTAGGCTAGTTTGTAACAGCTGAAGGCTAACTTTTAATAGCAAATGGTGCTCTAGGCAAATTTATAAACAGAAGACGGTGCTTTAGGCTAGTTTTTAAACAGCAACAGCACTCTAGGCTAGGTTTTGAACAGCAGATGGTGCTTTAGGTTAGTTTTAAACGGCAGACGGTGCTCTAGGCTAGTTTTTAAATGACAGACGACGTTCTAGGCTAGTTTTTAATAGCAGATGGTGCTCTAGGCTAGTTTTTAAACAACAGAAAGTGCACTAGGCTAGTTTTTAAACTTTACACCCAAATGCTAACAAGAAAGAGCACTTGAAAGTCGACTTGTCACTGGATTAATGTAAACACAGCTCGCGGTGAACAGTCTTGTTATAAAAACTTAATTTAATCAAATTAAAATGAATCCAATCAAAGAATAATTGGACTTGCTCATCATTACCCTGTACTCAAAGTCAGCAAATTCTCTTCCTCCTTGACTTCCTCTGTATCCGCCTCTGAAGCCAGGGTGCGGCCCAAACGAGCCCCGTCCAGCTCCGCGGCCCCGGCCCCCTCTGAATCCCATGCCTCCACGGCCCCTGTACCCTCCGCGGCCCCGCCGTAACGGCAGCCCAAACGTCTCCGCATTCATCCGCCGCTCCTCCGCCCAGGTCTGCCTGTGCTGTCTGAATAACCAGCAAAATTATTATTTCATATACATCACCGAGATTATACACAAACGGAAATTTCTAATGATTCTCACCGGGGGAAAAACGACCCTCCGGACCTCTCGGCTGCCTTCCTGTTTACAATCAGCAACAAGAAAAAGACGATCATTTTGTTAACATTTAACCAAGCGGCAACCTACCGCTCTATGGAAGGTAAATCCTGCCAATTTTAATTAAATCAAATAAACATTGGAAAATAAAATGAAAACCAGATTAACTATTGTATTATAGAACACTACGCAAAACATCTGTCAAAATTTTATTTAAGTTGCCTATTTAACATTTCATTTTCACTGCATTTCTGCATCAAGACTGCCAATATTAAAATGAAAAGCCAAACTGAAAAATAAAATGTAAACACAATTTTTACAAAGCTTGTTCACGCTATAAGTGACATAATTCAAATTAAAATGTATATTTAATTTTTTTTTATTGACACTTTTTATTTCAGTCTTTATTTTCAATTGAATTTTCAACATCAACCTGTATGCACAGCCTATGCTAATCAGTGATAGGGGTGTATTCAAGTGACGTCAAGTGTTTTCAGAGCCCGAGGGCAGAAGCATGGTTTTGATGGATGATGGGACAGCGCAAGTTATTAACGTATATATAACAGAACTAAAATGGCAAAAACTGTTAGCTTTTACGAGAAGCAGCTGTCATAGGTAATGAAGTATTAAGCGTTTTTCCTTAAGAAAAGCACATTTATGCCAAATGCTAGCAGGCATTTGTAGCTCCGCCTTTTTGCCCTTGTTTGGTATCACCCGGTTGGTGCAATTACATGCGTACAAGATTGAGACGATTAGCCACGCCTACTTGTAGTTTCTTTTGCCTTCTTCCGAAACCTATGGGTGACGTCACTGACACTACGTCCATATCTCTTACAGTCTGTGGATTTAACACAATGGATGCACAATACTGGAAAAATCTGAGATATTTTCCGTAAAGTAAAAAAAAAATAAAATAAAAAAAAAAAGTAAAAAAAAAAAAAAGTTAAATATATGCGATATTTTACTTATTTGCGATACACCAGCCTGATCCCACGAAAAAACTTAAGTATTTTTCGTTTTGCCATTTTCGATTTAAAAAAGGAGGCGTGGCACCTAACCTCACCCCTAAACCCAACCGTCATTGGGTGATGAGCAAATCGTACTAAATTGTACGAATTAGATTGTACGAATTCATACGAATCAGCCACTAAATCAAAAAGTTACGAATTGCCGTGAGATTGTGTTGGATATACAGTATATTAAGATATGGGCATGGTGGTTAAGTCGTTAGCACTGAGGCCTCACAGCAATAAGGTTGCTGGTTCGAGTCCCGGCAGGGCCATTTCTGTGTGGAGTTTGCATGTTCTCCGTGTCAGCGTGGGCTTCAGCTCTAAACATCTCAAGTCATTCATTATGTCATACTGCAAATTAAGCCTTTCGTGTGGAAACAAGAACTAGGGATGCATCACATTTTGACCCCAAAACTGCATTTTCGGTTTCCAGACGACAGAGAAACATAGCCGAAAATATTTTACTTTCAAAAACTGTGGCTATTTTACTAACTTTCAAAAAGTTTAACAAAATGACATCAAATCCCTTAAAATAATCATTACTACAAAACATTTTCAGTTTTCACCCAAGTGCATCCAGAACTGTCATTCAGAACAGTGCACTCCTAACAAAAACACAATGTTTTTTAATGCGTCTCTTAAAATGCAAATGAGCTGCTGCTGTTCCCACCCCTTAACCAGAGGAGGGCATCTTGTGCCTCAGTTACTCAAACAAAAAATCTGCCCATGTACATCTAACTAACACAGAGAATATCACTGTTTTAAGTGTGTTTTGCAACTGTGCAGATCTTTTTCATGTCCAAACAGCAACATTACTTACTGAAGCGTATAAACAAAACACCATGTCCCACATCTAAATGTGCTCTGACCTGGTATCATCACAGGAGATGTTGTCAAAGAATGATTTGGTTTTATCATAGTAGCAGTTTGGCCCGAGAGGATCCTCCTCGTCAGCGTTTCCTTCACTGTTCTGAGTGTCGACGCCAGAATCTGCCTTATCCTCTCCATTCAAAGCTTTCTCCGGCTTCTCATCTGAACACAGAATGAAAACATACACAGCTAATGAGTCGGTTCACCACAAATGCTTAAGGTTAAAGTCTTCTGCAGATCTAATGATACTTCAGAGACAATACAATTATAGAACTACATATATAGACGCACTTAAAAACAAAAAAAACATGCACTAATAATAAATAAACGGCTGCAATACATGGAACAGCCACTGGTGTCGCCAATAACAAAGCTTTGGGTTCAACAGAGGAAAGAAACCACTTTGGAAAAAGTGAAAGAGGAGTAAACGATGACAACACCCTGTCCCTTTAACCCTTGTGTACTGCTAAAATTTGCAAGCCTCAAGTTATGTTGGGGGGTGTTTTGCCCCATTGACTTCCATTATAATGACATTTTTTGATTGCAATGCCCTGACAGCATATAATCATGCATCCTTGATTCCCGTTGCTAGTTTTCCCTGTTGGGAAGAGGTACATTGTGTAATGTTTACTGCTGATCATCAGATGTCAGCATTAACCCTTTAGAAAGGCCTGTGCAAACAAGGTTATGGCTTTTATATGGAGTAAAACAGCAGATTATAGTGTGTGCAGAAATACACTTACTGTGTTTCTGAGAGGCTAATTGGGATTTTCTGATTCATCAAAGGCCTCTCACATACACTAAAGCACACATGCACTATACTCTATACTCCAGCTTTTTTTGCACTGCATCTGATGATCAACAATAAACCTTTTTGGGAAGTTTTCCCTTTTCCCAACAGGGAAAAACCCCCAACAGTCAAGAATGCATGATTATATGCTGTTATGGCTATGCAAAGTCAAGGGGGCAAAAACAGCCCCCAACATAACGAAAGCATAGTCAATTTGCCCAGAGTGTATTGTCGAGTTAACAAACTTTAAATAAGTTAAAGTATTTGTTTAAAATGTGGGTCAAAATAAGATTTGTGACCAAAAATCATTCCATTTGTTGAAATCGTGGCCATATTAAGACTCAAAACCCCTCCAGAGTGGATGAAAACCTCCCCAACAGCCATACATGTCTTAGTACCCATGTTCCCTTCATGTATATCTGTATTATTTGCACATCTAGTCCTCTGTTTGCACCTTTCAGCTTGAGTTTGCTCTGGAACTCTTTGTCGATCTCTTCTTTGTTGAACTGAGCATTGGCGCTCTCAAAGTCAAAGTCCTTCTCAAACTTCATGGGTCCTTCTCTGCGTACGGGGAACCGACCCCGACCGCGGTGAGCTCCAGCGCGGCCACGCCGAGCAGCAGGAGGACCACCAGCTGGAAACCCAACACAAACACACACTGTTAGTGGACAATTAAACATTACAATATATACACATACACATTTGAAGTCAGAATTTTTAGCCCTCCTATGCATTTTTTTTTATATTTCCCAAATGATGTTGAACAGATTCAGGAATTTCTCACAGTATTTCCTAATGTTTTTTCTTCTGGAGAAAGTCTTATTTGCTTTATTTCGGCTAGAATAAAAGCAGTTTTTAATTGTTTAACTCACTTTAAGGTCAATATTATTAGCCCCCTTATGCAATATTAGTTTTGGATTGTCTCCAGAACAAACCACTGTTATACAATGACTTGCCTAATTACCCCTACTTTACCCTAATTACCCTAGTTACCCTAATTAACCTAGTTAAGCCTTTAAAATGTCACTTTAAGCTGAATACTAGTGTCTTGAACAATATCTAGTCTTATATTATGTGCTGTCATCATGACAGAGAAAAGAAATCAGTTATTAGAAATGAGTTATTAAAACTATTATGATTAGAAATGTTGAACAGAAATTGGGGTGAAAATATATACAGGGGTGCTAATAATTCTGACTTCAACTGTATATTTCTAAAGAGCAAACAGAAGCAAATTTATCAATCATTGCAAAAGGAAAATACTCAAAGATGCATGCCGTGTGACATTCAGCAGCTAGCACAATACTTTTTATATATATTTTTGAAGCATCTGAAACATGCTTTAACTTCTATTGCAGTATAACGCTGTTAACATGCACACAATGCCACACATTAGGATTTGTGTTATAGTGTAGATTCAGTTTGGCTTATAATACATATTATACACCCAGCGGCTTTGTTACTTTATTAGGTACAGCTGGTTAACTGCTCGTTAACGCTAATCAGCCAATCACATGGCAGCCGCTCAATGCATGTGGGCATGTAGACTTGGGCTGCGTCCGAAACCGCATACTTACATTCTATAAAGAACGCTAAAATCAGTATGTGAGCCGAGTAGTATGTACGAATTCATAGAATTCGAAAATCAGTATGCGAGAAGTACCCGGACGACTTACTACTTCCGGCAAGATTCTGGAGTGCGCATCCCATGCATGCTGCGCTATCCCATAATGCTCCATAAGAGAATTCATGAAGGGAGTGAAACGACGCAACTGACGCAGATAAGTCACGTGACCATGACAAAGTAGTATATACTACTATATTATAATAATAACAATAGTAGTTAGCAGTAGCAATATATGAATAAGTAAAATATAATAATATTATAAGTATAATATAAAAAATATATAAGAATAAATTATAATAATAAAAACAACAACAATAGTAGTAATAATAACAATAGTAATAATAATATTATAATTATCAACAATAGTATAATAATAATAACAACAAATACTATTAATACAAATTGATATATTATTAACAATAGCAGTAGCAGTTATAATAATAATAATATTATTATTATTAATAGTAATAATAATAATTATTAACAATAATGTGATTTTTTTTACCTTTTTCTTGCATTTTAGTACATAAACATTTCTAAATATTACATATTTTAGTACATATGCACTTACTATATTTATACTATAATATAAACTTAATTCAATATATTATGCATTTGATTTCGGAGTGAAGCATCCCCTCATGGACTAGATTTGCATGAGATTCCCTCCTTAAGTCCTCTACTATGAAAGCAGACGGCTAAACGGCAGTGTGTGGATGCATGTGAGAAACAGATGGAGGAAGCTCTTAGAAAGATCATGCAGTTTCAGCACACAACTGCAGAGAGAGGCTTATGGGCAGAGGTGTTTAACCTGCGAGCCGTTTAGAGGCATCTTTGCTTCCTCCTCTGGACTGACTGGACTCTGGTGCGCTCACTGTTGGGACATCAGTGCCTGGGAGAGACCAGCTCTTTAGGACTGAGACACATCATCAAACCCCTACAGCAGATCTGGGTTTAATACTCAGTGTTCAGAAGAGGGTCTTGTTATTACTCCTCTCCCATGAGCATTCACACCAACCAACTATGGTTTAATTGATGCGTGGATTAAAGTGAAAAAGTAGCAAGTGGGAAAAATATATATATTCTCTGAATTTATTTTTGGGTCACATTTACTTTATTTAAATAACTGAGGCCACTATAATTTAAAGAAGAGATGTTTTGACCTTTGATGCAAAAATCAACATTTGGAAGCTGTTTGGACCAAATTGTGTGCACTCTGTTTCAAGGGCCAAAGGGAAGAGATAGGGGTACAAGAACAAAATTTGGATTTGGCCTAAATATTGTAATGTATTGTTGATCCACTAAATATAATGACTAATACAACTTTACAGTAAAATGTTACCATATATATGCAGGTAAAGCATGTTGTATTCTTTTCTTTTAAAGTGTTTGCTGCGCACTATTAATCCATTGCTTTAAACCTTCAAGCCTGAACAAGTTCGACCCTCGCATGAGCAAGGCAGGCAGTTCTGTACAACACAAAATGTAATGTGAAAAGTAACAAAGTAACACAAAAAGAAACAAAGAGTAACGCAAAACATAACATGAAAAGTAATGCAAAGTAACACAAGTTACATGAAAAATAACACGAATAGTATTAAGTAAAAAAAGTAACATGAAAAGTAACGCAAAAAGTAATGCAAAAAGTAATGCAAAAAGTAACGCAAAAAGTAATGCAAAAAGTAACATGAAAAGTAACGCAAAAAGTAATGCAAAAAGTAACGCAAAAAGTAACATGAAAAGTAACGCAAAAAGTAATGCAAAAAGTAACGCAAAAAGTAACATGAAAAGTAATGCGAAAAAGTAAAAAGTAACATAAGTAACACGAAAAGTAACGCAAAAATTAACACGAAAACACAAGTAACATGAAAAGTAATGCAAAAAGTAACACGAAAAGTAACACGAAAAGTAACGCAAAAAGTAACACGAAAAGTAACGCAAAAAGTAACACGAAAAGTAACACGAAAAGTAACGCAAAAAGTAACACGAAAAGTAACGCAAAAAGTAACGCAAAAAGTAACACGAAAAGTAACGCAAAAAGTAACACGAAAAGTAACGCAAAAAGTAACATGAAAAGTAATGCAAAAAATAACACAAAAAGTAACAAGTAACATGAAAATAACACGAAAAGTAACGCAAGTAACACAAAGTAACGTAAAAAGTACAACAAAAAAATAACACAAAAAGTAATGCAAAAAGTAAAACGAAAAGTAACCCAAAACAACGAAAAGTAAAACGAAAAGTTACGTGAAAAGTAACACAAAAAGTAACATGAAAAGTAACAAAAAAGTAATGGAAAAAGTAACACGAAAAGTAAAACGAAAGGTTACGTGAAAAGTAACCCAAAACCACGAAAAGTAATGCGAAAAGTTACGTGAAAAGTAACTCAACTAGTTACTTTTTGGGAGAGTAACTTAATATTGTAACGCATTACTTTCAAAGGTAACTTTACCCAACAAGTCTATGGCAAGTCTAGAAGCATTTGGAGTTTTCCTCACCTCTGGTTTGCTCCGTCAGATCCACATGTTTCTGTGTGTTGGTGGAGGCCACGCGAGTGGAAACAGGACTCTTGCGGCCCAATCCTGGCGCAGCAAGGGTGGAGGAGACCACAGGGGCTGATGGGACGGCAGACTCCACTGGTGGGCTTTTCCTGAGAGAGTCGAGAGCCGGACTGGTGCTCCCTGCCATAAACACATGCAAGATGATCACTGATGCAACCCGACCAAATATAATAATACCTGAAGTCAATCTGATGAGGGGAAATCAGAGCTGGCTGGAATACAAAAACCTTGTGAATGAGCTATATATGCACAGCTGGAATTTTCAGCCAATCATAAACTTCCGGTGAAAGGTTTTTGCGAATATCTTTAATTTCATATGGCTGCTTTTACAGCATGTATGTTTTAATGTAACTAAAATACAATCAGTAAATATATTTAAGCATTCATTTAGTTATTGATGAAAAGCTGTTTAAACACAAGAGCCGTCAGTGGCAGCAGGCGAGCACTGCATTCATCTCTATTGAAAATACCAGGGTAAAATAAATGTCAATATTTTAAAGACATGGTGCAGAACAATGGAAGTTAATGCAGTGCTTCTTGTACAGTCCGAGACCCACTTTATATCGTATATCAATCAGTTAATTAAGACCACGCATTTTTAAAGAAATCAGATCTGGCGATTTTGTAATGGTGTGACAGTTCACCGGAGGCACGTAGGCTGGCTGAAAGTTAAGTCTGTGTGCATATAGCTCATTTGTGTTATTGAATTAATGAGTGAATAAACCACAGCAGTCACACACCAAACTATAATTAAAGGAATCTCAGAGCAGAATTTCCACAGAAAGAGTGACCACGTACACACAGCATCAGCACACGCAGATCAGGAGCCAAGACCAAACCCAATGGCGGAGCGCTCAGGACTGAAGAGTTGTGTTTTTTAAGTAATCCTGAAGATACTAGAGGTTTTACACCGGGTAGTAATAGGAACTGCATTATAGGGCTGTGGGATTTGGAGAGGAATGGGCTGGGGCAGAATTGCAATTTCTCTGATTGATATTGTGACTTTGATTTTATTTTTAATTTAATAACGCATACAGTAGTCATTATATAATAATAATAATAATAATGATGATGATGATGATGGTTTAAATAAATCAGAGCGAGAGAGGCCGAGTATTGGCGAGTAAGATAGACCGAGTGGACACGAGAGAAGCCGAGTATAGGTGCGCGAGAGACTGAGTGGACGCAAGAAAGGCCGCAAGTATTGGCACACGAGAGAGGCCCCTCTGTGTTCGCCTGACTTTTGTCCACTCTGGCGCCTCATAAAACCGTCTTCTTTCATCTGAGAAATATCGCTAAGTTACGAAGTATGCTATCCATCTCAGATGCAGAAAAGCTAGTCCATGCTTTTATGACCTCTAGGCTGGATTACTGTAATATTCTGTTCGCTGGTTGCCCAGCATCCTCTATTAATAAATTTCAGCAAAACATATATATATATATATTTTTTTTTTTTATCTGTTTATACTTCGAAGAAACCTTTGTAAATGTGGCTAGATTTCAGCAGTGTTAGACAGTCACTTTGGCTGGGTGAAAATAATTTTTTAATTGTTAGTTCTGGATCGTCACTAATGGTGAGAATTTTAGTTTATAATCATTTGTCAATATGCGCGTAAATGTGCTCTTAGAGTCGAGAAGCAGCACGTGCAAAAGTAAGCAGATGAATACTGAGTGAGAGGATTATCGCGCTTATAGTGAGATACAGGCACGCTCCCATTACCTTGCACGAAGCAACCATACCTGGAAACGCAACTGGTTCGATTTAAAACAGACTGGACAATAAGCGATGTTCAAGCACCCACAGTCCTGCTGCTTTCAAGAGCTCCTACTTCATAAACAGCAGCACACAGTGTTTTTTACCTGCTTTCTTGCTTACAGTAATTTTTGCTTTAACAGGAGATTACTCTCCATTAATTTATAGTTAACTGGTTTTAGATACATGACAATCGTGTTTTTTAAATCTCAAATTTTTGTTCAATAAAAAGTGTGTGTGCAGCTATATTTTGCTTATTTAAAATTGGTGGCAAGGAAATAATTAGTTTGGTGTGACCAAAGAATAATCTGGCAAATCCTTAGGTGTTGAGCCCTCAAAAGTCCTGTGAAATAACGAACTGCAATGTGACATTATGAAACCAAAACCCATTTGCTAATGCTCATTCACAACACACAAAAAGTGAAATGAACGAGGAGGCATGTGGACATCACACAATTTAAATCAAGTCATTTTAGCATGTCAAAGTCAATTTAATGCATATAAAAATATTCTCTCAAAAACAAACATGTGGCTAGTAAAAATGGCAAGTGGCTATTAACGTTGGAAAACTACTAGCCACAATGCCCTGGTGATACGTTATCAAGATATAAGATGACTTACATTGTGATATGAGGTTTGATATGGCCCAGTTCTCCCTTCATTTAAACAAAGCATGTATTCCCAATGGTTCTCAGTGTGTACGTGGCCACAAGATACATTATTTTGAAAACTATTAGACCCTTCATTTCCCCTCCACATGCAGGTGCCTCAGAACGCCCTCGAAAAGTGAGAAGTGAATTGTTACTCATGAAAATTTCAAAACACAGATGTGAGAGACCGCCGAACTCCTGCTGAGTGTTGAAGAGGTCTTTAATTTCCCGGTGATCAATTTTGATTTGTAGTTAGATTAATACAGGTCATTTTCTGGCTCCCGGAGAGCGGTTTTACCTTCTGCTATGAACCCACACAGATTGTCACTGATGAAAGCAGAGGAAATGGCACTGCCAGTTTCACTACCAAACAATCCCAAAGCACTTCCTGTGTGGAAAGGAAGAGCAGGTGCGCACACATCAGGCGTGCTACAGGATCAGATATGGACCCAAATATCCGCTTCTGCTCCTCAGTTTAGTTTGAGCTGAAATACCTCTTGTGAAAGACGACTTACCGACTCCAACGGTGCCGAACTGTGGTGAGACCAGCGGGGAAGGGTTGAACTGGGTGTATGGTGCGACTGGCGGACGGTTGAACAGCCCGTAGGAGTTTCCAGACTGGAAGGATGATGGAGGAGCAGTGGAAGATCCCAAAGAGGACTAACGGAGGAAGACAAAAATAAAACATGATCAAGTCACTGCAGAAAAACAACACCAGAGGGTGGGAATCTTCTGAGCACTTCACAATCCGATCTGATTCCTGGGATCATGATACGATTGCAAAACGATTCTTAACCTACATCAGGCACGTGCACACATAGGGCTCAACCAGTGCAGTGCACATGCCCTTTTTAGTCTTGGATAGAAAGTGCCCTTCCAAAATGATCTATAGTGCCCCCGCGACAACCCCCATTTGTTGTACTGCGCCTTTAAGGCTAGACCTCCCCACCCACCGTTTCTACGTGCACATGCACAGTTTAAAACATTTTAAACTTGTGAAACTCACTCTTCTTGATCACATTTGATGATGATTGATGATCCTAACAAACTGAACAGACCTTTTATTCCCGGTTGCTTTGCGCACGTGTAACGGAGGCCAGCTAGTGTGTACTGTGCAGGTAAACCTCACTCCTCTGACCTCTAAAGGTGCTCTAGCGACAGATGCTAGAGGCTATGGTCTTTAGCCTCCTTGTTAGAGCAACCGACTCCCATGTGGAAGTTCGCCGGTTCAAATTCAGCTCGGAGCCGGTTGGGCGGTGTAGGACCGGCGGGGTTATATTAGTGCCGTGACCCGGATGGGAGTGATTCAGGGGGGTGAGTGTAACGGAGGCCAGCTAGTGTGTACTGTGCAGGTAAACCTCACTCCTCTGACCTCTAAAGGTGCTCTAGTGACAGGCGCTAGAGGCCATGGTTTTTAGCCTCCTTGTTAGAGCAACCGACTCCCATGCGAAAGGTTGCCGGTTCGATCCCAGCTCGGAGCAGGTTGGGCGGTGTAGGACCAGCGGGGTTACACACGTCTTGTTGATATGATTATACACGTGACTGCCGGGACATGTTAATACGCGCAGCTGTCAATCAATTCGGTGGGCGGGGGGACCGCACTCCTCCATCAAGTTGCGGCTGATCTGAAAACCGCCCCAATTTGGTCCACCGTTTTTATGTTGTTAAATTAAATAAAAGTAAAAAAGGACTGGGTGTGTTTATATCACCTCAATATGATGGTCTACACACTATATGTACATACATGCATGCCCAAAGAGCTTGAAAAGGAGATTTCACCATAGGTGTTCTTTAAATAAACAGTGCTTCACAGTTTTAGGCGAGTCTAACAGTGTTCAGGTAGACAATTTTTAAAAATCAAATGTAAAATGACATGATCTTCACTGTATAAATCATTCAAAAATACTTCTTTTTATTAAAACTTACAAACAGCACTGCTTTTTTGTGTCTAAATGCTTTAAACTTCTAAAATTCTCATAATCAATAGGCTTAAACTCCACAAAGCTGATGTGTTCTATAATCCCAAATCAAAATTGCACATACTGTGATGTGACTATTGTTGCATTGCGATATCGATGGTGAAAGAATATAATGTGCAGCCCAACTATCAACACTATTTCTGTTCAGAGCTTGTGCCCACTGAGGCCTCATTTGAACTCCGAATCGATTCTGAACACTTGATAATTGATTCAAAATTGTTAGACAAATAAAATCGCGATGCATCAAATTGTTCAACTACAAACAGTTCATAGACAACTAAATCAGGGTTTCATTGACATCTCATATGGTCCAACCCATAACTATAATCGTGTCCGACTTCAAATCTAAAGCCGTTGTCACATTAGATGATTAGACAATGATAAAGTGAGCGATTGCTCCATATTTTACACTTCTGTAAAGAGAGGTCAGGGTTTTGGTCTTCTATTTGGTCTATTGGTGATGCGATTTCACAGGTCAGAATTTACCAAGCTTGAACTTTGGAAAGCATCCACATGCTTATGAATGGAAGTCAATAGGGTGAAAAGTACATTACAGTCAACATACATCCCCTAGAAGCACATCCTGCACACTGTTTTTTATAATGTGCAAGAATTATCTTCTGAGTCTGTACCTGAACAATGGCCGGGTCCTGAGGCAGAGAGCATGTCGGTTTTGGTGGTTCACAGACAGTCAAGTCCTTGATGTCACTTCCTCTGAATATAATATACTCAAAGGTCTCATCTCGAGGTGCGATGGGCCGGTCGGTGGGACGGTCCTCAGTGCCAAAGGAACGCACTGCAACAACAACAACAACTCAAATCAACTCTCATTCTGCTAATTAACAATAAATTAGCAGCCTTCCTCTGAGATTTGACTCTAATCTTATTAAAATGGGAACGCTTTTGCACGGTAAGTAATCCGGTTGTTAGGTTTGACGTCATGCATCTTGTAAACAAAACTGAGATGATGTAAACTCTGTGTGCCGCTTTATCTGAGCTTTATCTCCTCACTGTGGCCTCTGAATTGTTTGGATTGGGTTTTATCAGAGCTACAAATGAATAACGCACGTACAAGTGATTATATCAGATAAAATCACAATTATTAGCCCTTCCAAAGGATGTGTAATGGGGAGAAGCTTTCTTTTTAACATATTTTTAACCAGCTTATTTCTAATAATGAATTTGGTTCGTCTTTGGCATGATGACAGTACTTCATATTTTACAAGATACTAGGGTTGGGCGATGTCGACCAACTTGGCATCGTACGTTGTCTAATGTGAAAGATCGCGATGGCCGATGGAATAGTCGTTGGCGGTGAATTAAAGGTGCAGAGGGTGATTGTCTTCAGAAGCATGTGTTGTTGTGCTGGTTGAAAGTCTCTTCACAGTCTAATAGTAATGATTACAGTAAATGATCTAAATGTGTTTATATATTTTGGGTAAGGCATAAAACTAAAAAGTGTTCATCCAATTAAATAGAGTCGGGAGACATCTCTCATAACTCCGATAAGTAGGTGAAACTGTCTGTCAGCAAATGCAGATTTCAACAACTGCGCAGCCGTTTGTACGCAGCTCCGCCGACCGCCGCACGTTCACAAGAGAGGACGCGCGCGCGCAATCAGTGAAAACCTGCTTAATCAAAACTTTTTAAAAACCTGAATCAATATTGGAGGTTTTTAATTGTGCTTTTCTTGAACATTTGGGTTTGAGACTTTGTTTTATTTTCTTAATCTATTTTGAAACATTTAGGTGTTAAATTTAATGTCTATATTCTGAAATAAAACCTTTCTTGGTGTTCTACATTCACTATGAGATTCACTATAAAATACTTAAGTACTTGTAAAATCAGATACTTTAATACTTTTACTCAAGTCTTAGTAGAATTGGTGACTTGTAACGTGTAATGGAGTAATTTATACAGTAAGGTATCTGTACTTTTTCTCAAGTATGGTTTTCAGGTACTCTTTACACCCCTGCCCATTGGATGTTTAAATTACCTTTAAGTTTATCTAAATTGTGAACATAAAGCAATCGCTGTAGTAAAAGCAACTAAAGGCTACTTCAGATTTGAAATAAGGGCAGATTTCTTTGTCAATAGTCCTACAGTAAGCATCTTATAATAATAATAAACTATCTGACTGATAAAATACATCCATCTAAGTTAATAAAAAATGTACTTAAATTGGCCTATTAAAATATTTCAAAGAAAGCACATATTGATCTAAAAGTACCACAGAGTAGATAACGCAGTATGTTTTACAAACAAATGTTGTATTAGAGAATAAACAAACTGTTATTTGACCGTTTACTATATTTTCTTTGCTAATTTAGCAGAAAATACAAGTTTGTGTCAGAATCCTAACGTTATATTAAAATATACCCGCGTATATGCACTTTTCGTCAAACCTTTCAGCGTATTATTTATAATAACCATATCTATATAAAGTGAATATAGTATACAAAAAAGTAACACGCTTTTGAAGCCTCAAACCGCACGAGTACACAAATGCTGACTACATAGTGCGCGTGCTACAATTTGAAACACGGCCCAGTGTGAATAACACGTAATACTGACTCACAACATGAACTAAAGCTCAAACTGAGAGTGTGTTAGTGTCTGGAGTGTGTTTTTGAGTGTTTCTGTGCGTTTCTGACCTTTAGCGAGCGCGACGGTGGAGTTTTCAGTGTCGATGGTGTACAAAATGCCTTCATAACGGATCTCCGCTTTACTGATCAGGCTGATTTTACTGCCGATATACGGCGTGCCACCGCTCATCGTCGCGCTTTCACCTCGAATAAACCGGGAGAGAAAAATGAGATTTCGGTGGAAGGAAAATATCCACACTTCACAGCATAAACAAACCACTGCGACTGCGATTGTGTGTGTGTGTTCGCTAATAAAACATGGCCGCCTGCATTTTCAGGCCGTCGGGCGGAAGTGACGTTTGACCGCCGTCATTTGGTCTACGTCAGGGTTTTCCCAAAGTTCATGTCATAAACTGTTTTATGTGGTACTTTACATTAGAAATATGTTCATCAATTGTGCAGAATTGTGACTTTAGAGCTCAGAATAGTGAACATATATCAAAATTGTGACTTTATAACTGAATTCTTTCTTTATAGCTCATAGTTGCGACCTTATATCTCATTATTGCTACTATAACTCAGAATTTTGGCTTAATAGCTCATAATAGTGACTTTATAACTCAGAATAGTGACTTTATATCTCAGAATAGTGAATTTATAACTGAATTCTAACTTTAAAACTCACCATTGTGACTTAATAACTCACAATAGTGACTTTACATATCAGAATAGTGACTTTATATATCTTTATATATCAGAATAGTGAATTTATATATCAGAATAGTGACTTTATATATCAGAATAGTGACTATAACTCACAATAGTGACTTTATAACTCACAATAGTGACTTTATATATCAGAATAGTGACTTTATAACTCACAATAATGACTTTATAACTCACAATAGTGACTTTATATATCAGAATAGTGACTTTACATATCAGAATAGTGACTTTATAACTCACAATAATGACTTTATAACTCACAATAGTGACTTTATATATCAGAATAGTGACTTTACATATCAGAATAGTGACTTTATAACTCACAATAGTGACTTTACATATCAGAATAGTGACTTTATAACTCACAATAGTGACTTTACATATCAGAATAGTGACTTTATAACTCACAATAGTGACTTTATATATCAGAATAGTGACTATAACTCACAATAGTGACTTTATAACTTACAAATGTGACTTTATATCTCATAATTGCGACTATAACGCAGAATTGTGACTTAATAGCTCATAATAGTGACTTTTTAACTCAGAATAGTGACTTTATAACTCACAGTTGTGACCTTATATCTCATAATAGTGACTTTATAACTGAATTATTACTTTAAAACTCACAATAGTGGCTTTATAACTCAGAATAGTGACTTTATAATTCACAAATGTGACCTTATATCTCATAATTGCGACTATAACTCAGAATTGTGACTTTATATCTTTGAATAGTGACTTTATTACTCAGAATAGTGACTTTATACCTCACAATTGCGACTATAACACAGAATTGTGACTAATTAACTCACAATAGTGGCTTTATAACTCATAATAGCGACTTTAAAACTCACAAATGTGACCTTATATCTCATAATTGCGACTATAACTCAGAATTGTGACTTTATAACTCAGAATTGTGACTTTATAACTCACAGTTGTGACTATAGCTCAGAATAGCTCTATTGGATTGAGAACTGGGGACTGTGAAGGCCATTTGAGTACAGTGAACGCATTGTCATGTTCAAACCAGTCTGAGATGATTTGCGCTTTATGACATGGTGCGTTATCCTGCTGGAAGTAGCCATCAGAAGATGGTGGTCATAAAGGGATGGACATGGCCAGCAACAGGTAGGCTGTGGTATCGACACGATGCTCGATTGGTACTAATGAGCCCAAAGTGTGCCAAGAAAATCTCCCCCACACCATTACACCACCACCACCAGCCTGAACCGCTGATACAAGGCAGGATGGATCCATGCTTTCATGTTGTTGATGCCAAATTCTGACCCGACCATCCGAATGTGTCAGCAGAAATGGAGACTCATCAGAGCAGGCAACGTTTCTCCAATCTTCTATTGTCCAGTTTTGGTGAGTCTGTGTGAATTGTAGCCTCAGTTTCCTGTTCTTAGCTGACAGGAGCGGCACCCGGTGTGCTCTTCTGCTGCTGTAGCCCATCCGCCTCAAGGTTGGACGTGTTGTGTGTTCAGAGATGCTCTTCTGCAGACCTCGGTTGTAACGAGTGCTTATTTGACTTACTGTTGCTTTTCCATTAAAAGATCTATTTTTTTAACACATTTTTCTCCAATTGTCACTCAATACCTTTGTAATCACTTAAAAACTTATTTTACAGAATTTTAAAATAGGAATAGAATCATGCAAAAGTATTGTAATGAGATGTGCACAATGTTTGGTAACATTAGTAAAATGTCTGCATGCACACTCTGCATATGCAGGACTTTTGCCAGCTCACATGCGTGGTGGAAAGCAAACGCCAAAAGGTGCAGATATCAATAATGAAACTGTATTTATCAGAAAATGCTTACCAAATGTTTATTAAAATGCCTTACGTTCAGTTCACAACACCTATAGTTTAGTTTTACCAGTTATTATATATTAGATTAGTGTCTTTAAGCATAAGCTTTTAAATGATGATTCATGTTTTAATATGGACATTCTTCATAAAATTACTTTGCCTTTCCAGTCATATCTATCCTCATAGATTTTTTGATAAAGGAGGAGTTGTCCAACACCTATGTACCTTTTAAACGAGATCAATTATATACCTTCATTTCAGTTGTGCCATAAAGAATACAGAACAGCATCATAAGAGGTCTTTTCTGTACTATAAGGTTTAAGATCATTATTTGTACCACCGTTTACCTTTTTTGTCTCAGAGTGTAGTAAGTAACTGATATAATATGCCATGATCATTGTTTATCATCATGCATGAGTCGATGCAGAAACATTTTCAGAGTTTAGTTTAAACCAGGGGTGGCCAGCCCTGTTCCTGGAGATCTACCTTCCTGCAGATTTCAGTGGCTACCCATTTTAAACACACCTGAACCAATTAATTAGGAACTGAACACCACGTGATAATTACAGGCAGGTGTGTTTCATAAGGGTTGCAACTGAAATCTGCAAGAAGGTGGCTCTCCAGGAACAGGGCTGGCCACCCCTGGTCTAAATGCTCAGTAATGAGTGTGAATGAACAGTAGAGGGCAGTAGAGGATCTGTCAAAACTCTGTACACAATGAAGACACAGACCGCCCTCTAATGGACATTCGATCATTCACGAGCCAACAAATACACCCAAAACTGACTTCTGCTGCTTGTTCAAGCTACTTATTTAAAATGAGTTGCAACAACACAACTCTTAAGCTAATTGTTTTATGTTCAATTCACTTTTCACATTTGTAAAAACAATTCAGTTAATTTGTTTTGGGGGCAACATGAAGGAATTATGTGGAACCAGAGATTGTTTAAGTGTACGTCCTGTATTCATTCATTCATCTTCCTTCGGCTTAGTCCCTTAGAGGTCGCCACAGCGGAGTGAACTGCCAACTATTCCAGCATATGTTTTACACAGCGGATGCCCTTCCAGCCGCAACCCAGTACTGGGAAACATCCATACACACTCATTCACACGGACATTTTAGTTAATCAATTCCCCCAATAGCACATGTGTTTAGACTGTGGGGGAAACCGGAGAACATGCAAACTCCACACAGAAATGCCAACTGGCCCAGCCGAGGCTCGAACCAGTGAACCAGACGCCGTGCCGCCTCTTGTATGTCCTGTATGTATAACAGAAGTCATGTGCACATCTGTCCATTGAAGATAGAAACCTGTGAAACTGTATGAATGTGAAGTGCAATAATAAATACACAGAAGAAAAGAGCCACAATCATGTCTCATTTCAATGTTTATTTATAAAATAAGGGGCAAAAATCCATTAGATTTCATTATAGTTCTCATTTCTATCCTCATATAATATGAAACCGTGTCTTCCTCATAGTTAGCCATAAACCATTACAGAAACGATTAGAAAACTGGTCAAACTTAGGGCCTTTATTCGAGCAAACTCCATAACACTATGCTATTTTTCAAATAATAATCACGTTCCTGCATTGAAAAGTGCTACAATTGATCAATCCGTGAGTGCGTTCAATGCCAAACCTGCATGCATCTCATCCACAAAGCAAAGAAAGCAACGCTCGCATGAGAAATCAACATAATGCAACAGTAGAACAGATTCGGTTTGGCATAACACAATTAGATGCTCTTTTAAGGCAAATATTGTAAACAAACAATCCACAACATATGCTGGCTACTAAAATATTGCACATGCAAACATGATGCAGGCAATACTAAACCGTGAGTTCATAAATAATATGTGTATATATATATGTATATGTGTGTGTATATATATTTATATAATATATGGGGATTTCAATTACCCCAATTGTATGTTCATATGAGCGCTCCTGTTAAACGTATTCTCACCAGGACTAAAGTTCATGCCCTCCAGCCATTGCTGTATCAAAGAAATAAATAATAATAGTAGTAATAAAGATAACACAACCTCCACACACACCCCGGAGGGCAGATCTAACTATTCAACACCGCTCACTACTTTTATTACAAATTAGGATCATCACACCTGAGATTAAATGCTCAATATCTGTCACGTGTAAACAATTGATTAGCCATGCAGTCGAAGATCAGAACAAAGAAATGCACAGGAAGTAGATCTATCCTTCATCTCGGGTTAATAAAGCACGGTTTAATTCATGAAGTTATCAAGCTGAAGTGATCAGGTCAGTAAGACATCGATTAGAGTTCATCCCTATGCCCTAACCCCAGCAGGCACAGGACGTCAACATGACGACAGATTGACGTTGTACCTAAACATCGTGGGGATGTTGCATTTGCTTGGAAATTAAAATTGAGTTGACGTCAGAACCCAACATCAGTCAATGTTCAACGTCCAACTAAAAAACAACCAAATATCAACGTCTAATGCTACAGCTTAACGCTGTGTGGACGTTACCACTATGACGTCTATCAGATGATTTTGGTTGTTGTACCTGACGAAGAAACGTCAGTATTTGACGTTAATATGAGGTTGGTTTAAGATGTTGGATTTTGGTCACTTTCCAACACAACTTTAAATCAACCAATTATCAACGTCAAATGAAGTTACAGCTTAACATTGTGTGGACGTTACTACTATGACGTCTATCAGATGTTGGATTTTGGTGGCCAAACCTTACGAATAAACGTCCGTATTTGACGTCAATATGACTTTGGTTTAAGATGTTGTCTTGACGTTGGATTTTGGTCACTTTCCAACA